TGATTTTGATAATGAAATGTGATATATATGTATACGTTCGTACGATTCGAATGGGATGCCGACTCGGGCTACGGCTCAAACGCAATATTTTCTGAATTTCCAATTGATCATTGGATTAATACCGATATAGAGACTAAGGAAGTGTCAATCGAGAGTAATTTTAACTAAATTAAGTAATTTTAGGACATACATACCTTAATTCGATGAAGAAGCTGCGTGTGCCCAGACGTGACGCGGTCCGCCGGCCAGCAACAAATTGTAAATGGCGCTCGCGCGTGCGCCTAGACGTTCTCTGTTTCAATTCATTTCAAATGCTTTTGGGGTTGTTCGTGGCGCCATCTAGCGTTCACGACTGCGAACCCGCTTGACCCTGATTGGAGTCAAGCACTTTCGCGGCCACGAACGCTAGATGGCGCCATGAGCATCCCAAAATCATTTGAGATATGTATAGTACATTAAAATTCTTTTTATTTTGACGTGTCAAAATTATAAGAAACTATCATACATTGTAACATATAGTACCATTGTTACTAGCTGTACGAAATGGACCGTCACAATCCTCGATAGTATAGCGGTTCAGTATCCCCGCCTGTCACGCGGGAGACCGGGGTTCGATTCCCCGTCGGGGAGGTACTACTTTTTATTTTATTTTTTTTTATTAATTGATTATCTTTTGTATCACATTCGTACCCCTCATCATTGTATTTATATTGCTATTTAGTATTTATTATGACGTATTTTACACGATAATATCTGTACCATTGTATCCTTAAATTAAAATAAAAACTACTGGATATCTACGTATAATGTATATTTATCAGGAGGCTAAACCTTTTAGACAATTTGCTAATTTTTGTGTTTTATAATCAGTTCTTAATTGTATAAAGTTCACCAGAACATTACGATCCAGCGTTGCCTGTAAAAATAAGACACAACAATTACACCGATCGTGAAACGATTAGAAACTAGCAGTCTAATTTATTAGAACTTACCAATTGATCTCCTGTACAAACTTGCTTCAGATTCTCCGGTTTGACTAATAATAAATTACATAAAGCGTGTAAAGTATCGAACAAATTAGTAACGACTTCGACTTCAAGTTCTTTCACGCACTTGCGATACTCGTTCATATCACATATTGCACACATAGCACCAGCGGAGTTGAATTGAAACTGTTGCAAATGATCGTAAATAACTTTGTGAAATCGTGTTCCGAGTTCAGTCAGAACATTATTCAAATGTTTGCCATCGAGGGTATTTCGAATATGTCGAATCATTCCAGTCACGTATTGAACTACCGTTAAACAGGCTGGAGTACTTAGAGTGTCTACGTCGGTATCGGGTTTGAAGTCAGTTTTTCGTTGCTCGTTTTGTAGATATATCTTCACCCAACCGATAAGAGCATTTATACTTCGATCCAATCCTGTCTCCAGCCTCATGTTAATCTGATCTAATACAACTTTCTTCTTCAACATACACTCCCCGTGCTTCGGCGTAGATCTGGAATATAATTATTCTTTAAAATATGTACGAAACGTAAACGAAAAATTTGTCGAGCAAAACTCACACAACAAGGGGTATGATGCTATCGTTGAACTGTTCCTCTAGCAAACGAATGATCGCGTTGCATTGACGCACGACGTTGAAAAAATGTATTTCAGGTTGAGTTCTGCTCTCAGGAATCGGTACACTTTGTAAACCTAATTCCAGAGCGTAATCCACGTGCTCGTTTATCAAGTATTGTAACAATATTTCAAATATTTGCAACGTGTTTATCGGTACATCTTCGGGTTTCGACAATAACTGACACCTTTGGAATGCCAGTTTACTTCTTTGTAACAAAGCGATCGCCAGCTCCTCCGACAGAAAAGTTTCACCGCCGTAATTCTCGATCTGAGCAATGTTTATGTTGGTCCTTGCACCCAACACTGCTTGCAGGTCTCTTCTTAATTCTTGGAAACCTCCCGTTTGCAGCTGCTTCTTCTGATGATTTTTAGATTCGTAATATTCAATGAGAACGGCTGCTGACTTTTCCTTTAACGCCTTCGTTTCGACACTGAAACGTTACATCAATCAGTACTTAAATTTATTCTCTCGCGGGAAGACGAACTTACACAATATAAGTATCCAGATATTTTTGAAATATGTTTCTAGTCAATTTGGCAAGGTACGTATCATCGGTGCCCATATTAAATATTTTCAGTTCAGTAGACAACTTTACTGTTCTCGTGTATAAATCGTACAAATTTTTAAGGTACTTGTCAGGATCAGTTTTATCTGCTAATTTAGCGACTGCATACTTTTGTAGCCTTAAATGGTAGATGTTCAATACGAATTTTGCCATCACCTGTTCAGGATTCATGAAAACCTGTTGCATCAACTTATGATACTTTGTACACATAGGTATTACATCCTGGAAAACATCCTTTCCACCGAATGATCCCATTTGGCTCTGTTCTATGAATGCATCGATGCATTGAGAGTAGCCTTTAAAATTTGCCAAGATCGATGCCAATTCCCTCATACGGTTAGCATCTTCTCTGTTGTGTGCTCTGACGAATTCTTCTATAAGACTCCTTTCGATCTCATCGTACTTGACGGCAATCTTCTTCTTGGCATGATCAAACTTTTCAGACGGCAGTTCTTGTGAGACAAGGTGGAGCTTTTGTATTACATCTGCTGCTTCATCCAACTATTGCACAACCAAGTATATGTAATAACCATAACTTCGGTGACATTTGTGCTTCACTTACCAATGACTTATCTGTAAAAATTGAATCTGTCAGAGGCCCAGGGCTTAGAAAGTCTGAAAAGTGTCTCATTAATTTCTGAGCTTCAACAGCCCTGGCCCTTGGTGTATTGACGCTTTCCAATTGATCACCCAAGTGTAAAACTTTAGTGGCCACGAAATTTATTCTCTCGTCCAGTTGATGAAACAGTTCGATAGAATGTTTGTTTCTTTCTTGTAACTCGAATACTTCGAGCATGTGCCTCGCTTCTTCGTCCCTCAGTGCCGCCTCGAGTTTATCACACTTTTTCTGTTGCCGTTCTTGCAGAACTTGCAGGTCCTTGATCGCTTGTAAAAACGTTTCATGCACTATCGTGGGATCGAAAAACGTTTTACCACCGTCTTTTGTCGTGTCGTTGACTGTTCTCCAAGCGAGCCTTTCAACGAACTCTTCAGGATCGAACGGATCCTGCGAGAAAAGCGACGACAAAGGTATCTTAATCACTAATTTTCTGTAAATCTATGACCTAGCTTCAAATTGTCACTTTAATCTTTAACATACCTGCTCTAATTCTTTCATATATTGTTGCATCATTTTGATGAGGTTTTGTTGACAATCGTGTATCGAAACTAGGTTATACTTTTTCTGCTACGCAAGTAATGATTTTGCAATAAATAGCGATTGAATAAATTTCTAATTTACACAGATCGATAATAAAACTATCATTGTTCACTTATCATAACAATTACAACTCCTGTAAAAGCTGTCTCGTTCTTTTATCGTTTAGCAGCTCGCATAGCTCCTACCTTGTCTCGCAACAACTATATTGAACTATATACTCGATATTACGAAGTCTCTCAAGCAATGATTTTAGTTTAATTACATAGCGAGTTTCATGATATTCGTACCCATTTTACAGCTGAATAACTTTTTCAACATTGGATTAAACAATAAGTCAACATTCCTCGAAGTGTTGGGAGGCTTATATATATATATATAATATCGAATGTCTACGAGACCTGCGCGCATAATCGTCATTCAAAATTGGAGCGATAGAACATTTTATTGTGATTAAAATCAAAGTAACGTACATACGCGATTAGTTTTACTTTAATATAATAGAATATGAAAATGATCCACTTACAATTAGACGGGATGTTTATTCTTTTGTAATCATACATGTTTACTTGTTACTTATTGTTACATGAATATTCTCGTCATAAAATGTCTCACATATTCCTATCATCAATCTACGTTACAAACTAGTATTGTGATAAAAGAAATTCATCGTGATTTCGAAAAGACTCTTACTCAGTTTTCGTATCTTTTTAATCACAGTACAAAAGCGAGATTAAATGGAATCGCGACACGTACGAGCTTTGTACAAAATATCTTTTCGTTTAATAAAGTTTAGAGTAATATACGTGGTATACAAAGTCTTTTTGGTATTATTATTGCATAGCGTAGTTTTATTTGAATAATCAAATTTTATTCTCCTCACCATAAGAAAACAGAAACAGTTAACGTAACTCGTGTATGTAATATTAAATAATGTTAAGTAAGTTCTGAACAAGTGAGCAACCTGTATATAAAAGAAACGTACAAGAATTCCGGTAAAAGTGTCATCTTACAAGATCGTACAAAATAAACAGTTGTGTTAATAAAAATCTATTTCGTAGGATAAAGGACATTTATCGAACGACAGAACGTGTTACAATGTTCAATTTTTGTACACAGCACAATTCGACAAAACTTGCGTAACTTTCATAAAAATTGCAGCCGATGCATGTGTAACTGTATGCAATTACTCTTGTACATACAGGTGTGCAATCTGCCATTTCCTCCTGAATCAGCGTTGAAATATTTATTAGTTATACAATGTTATTAAATTACACTAATGAGTACTGGAAAAAAAAAGAAAACGAATAGGCAGCGACGGCGACGGCGACGGCGACGGCGACGGCGACGGCGACGGCGACGGCGACGGCGACGGCGACGGCGACGGCGACGGCGACGGCGAC